GGGCGCACGGCCGGGGGCGGCGGGGGCAGCTGCGGGCCCCGGGGGCAGCTGAGGCAGGGGTAGGGGGGCGGAGCGGAGCTTTCCGGACAGTCTGCGAGAGTCAGGAGAAAGTTGGAGAAAGTGAGTTCCGCAGAAGCACAACCAAAACAAGAAAAAGAGAAAGCTTACAGATAAGAGTTTAGGGAAACTTTAGAGTACAGACGGAGGCGGACAGAAGGCGCCCGACGGAGCTCCTGACGGGAGCCGCTGGGGGCCGGCTGCCCCAGGTGGACGAGAGGTGTGCCTGGGGCCAGACGCGAGGCCGGCCCGGACGCCGCCAAACTCTCTTCTGGCCGAGTCCGGGCAGGGGAGCAGGTCGCGCTGGCTCTTGTGGAGTACAGTATCTCATTTTGCAGCGTGCAAGGCTGGTGATGAGGACGCTTCTTCAAAAGGACAGCAGTGCCTTCGTCCCCAGCAAGACACGTGCGGCTCAAGACGACTTCACCTCTCCTGGAGCCTCCGGGCTGAGCCTGCAGGAGCAGCCTCAGCCATTTCAAGCTCCGTCCTCCAGCGCAGAGGCAACTACCCCCAACACGGGACACAGTCTCCTTCCACGGCCCTCCACTAGGTGGGTGGGAGCATCGGATACAGAAACACACTCTGGACCCACCCCTGAGGGAGCTGACAGATTCCACTGGACTTGGGGAGATAAGAAAATATCACTGAAAGCCGGGCATGGTGGCATATGCCTGTAATCCCAGCACTCTCGGAGGCCGAGGCAGGAGGATCACAAGTTGTAGCCTGGCCTGGGCAACTGAGCCACTCAGGAAGCCCCTGTCCCTAAATTTAAAAAAAAAAAAAAAAAGATAAAAGGGCTGGGATGTAGCTCCAGGCAAAGACCCTGGGTTCAATCCCCAGTACTGACAGGAAAAAAAAAAAAAAATACTGAGAAACAAGCCACCACCATACCGCAAATACCGAGCAGATGGCAGTGGTGTGAATGATGAATGAGGTTGAAGAGGTCAGAAGATGAATGGGATTTGGAAGGAGCTCATCTAGGTAAGATAAGAGACTCTCGGTGATGCAGAAAGGGAATCCCTCCCTCACCTCTACCTTTAAGCACAATTTGACTGAAACTAAAGGGCACAGAGGAAAGGCTGGATAATGGGAAGGGGGCTCAGAAGTGTCAATGGATAGATTCTGTAACAGTGAAGAATAAGGGCGGGGTTTTTCTGACAAGATAAACGGGTGTTTTAGAGAGAATGACCTGGTTTGAATTTGCTAGATGAATTAGAAAGGACAGCGGGAACTGAAGGTGAATGCTCCCAGCAGGAGAGGGCTGTTTGGCTGGCACACTTGTCCGAAGATCTGGACTTGAGTTCTGAGTCCACCACCATGACCTTCACACAAGTCACTTAACCCCAAGAAGTCTCTGTTCTCATCTGCAAAACAGGAGCGATGCCGTCAGCTCCCTGCAGCCCTAGAAGACCAGCACCCTAGGGACAATGAGAAATCCAACTTCCCTGTGGCTCCTGGCCACAGGCAGCTGGGACACACCAGTTGGAACATCCTTCCCAGGGGCATCAGAGCAGGCAAGCCCTGAGGAGAGGGGAGGAATCCAAATCAGATGGCCGTCTCCACAGGGAACTGGTAGGGCATAAGCTTCCCTGCCAACCCTGGATCCATACACAAGGAAAAGGAGCCATTCTGAAAAACACAGGCTCACTTCCTCCCCCCAACTCTTCTCACAACTCAATCAAGGTATCTGCTTGGGACAACTTTTTAGAAGATCCCTGAGCTGGGCTGAGAAGCCCTGAATTTGGGGCTGGAGTGTAGGTTGAAGGTAGTGTATGTGGTTAGCATTCACAAAATCCTGGATTCTATGTCTAGCACTTTAAAAAAAAAAAAAGGCAAATCAAAAGGTCCTGAATTTACATCTGAGCTGCTCCGAATTTACATCTGAGCTTAAGAAATGTAAAATGACTTGCTTAGCTGCTTGCCTTGCTGCCATCTCCCCAGCATCCAGGCCCTGTCCACAGACCAGCTTGCACCTAACCCCAGGCCTCCTCTCAAGGCAGAGTTTCTTAAACCAGGTGCAGTGGTGCATGTCTGTAATCCCAGCACTCAGGAGGCTGAGGCAGGAGGACTGCTGTGTTTGAAGCCACCCTGAACTACATAGTGAGATGCTCAAAAAAACACTGGAGTTGTGGCTCAGAGGTAGAACTCTTGCCTTGTATGCACAAGGCCCTGGATTTGATCACCAGCACCACACACGAAGCCAAAAAAAAATTTTAAAGGGTGGGTGGGGCATGTGGTGAGCTAGGGACGTAGCTCAACCCCTAGTACTGAAAAGAAGAAAAAGTACTATTATTTGTTATCTTTTCCATACAACTTCCCACTTAACCAAAAGAAATTCCAGACTCAGAAGTGTTCCTTAACCAACTTAGGGGATCTTGCCACTCTTGTGGCCATGCCGCAAGAAAGGGTAGGTAACACTACCGTTTCATAGGTGGAGACATGAAGCCAGTGATGTGCCTTTTTGTGGTCTGTAGACACAGACCCTAAAGCAGAAGAGATTCCAAGATCTAGGGTAAATAGGTCCTTTTAGTAAAAGAGCAGGGTAAATAAAATAGGGTAGATTTCAACAATCCCACAGATGCCTTCGACCTTGCTAAGTAACCTTCCCTGGGTAGTTCCTGGGATAGGTTTTTTGATTGAGATAAAGATAGTCAACTTAAAAACAGCAGCCCTGTGTAAAATAAGCCCTGTTCTTGGAATTGCTATCAAAGGATGTTGAAAGGAGGAACTGCTAGATGAAAAGAAGATGTAGATGTCAAGAGCCTAAAAGAAGGGCTGGAGAGGAAGAAGCCAGCATGGCTCCACAGAGAGGCTGACCTCTAGGGCAGGCAGGGTGCATTTCCTGTCTGGCAGGCAGACATCAGTAACTCAACAGGCCATCAACACTGATCAAAATGCCTCTGAGGTCACCTGACTCAGCCCGAGTCTGTATTCCTCAAGCACATGTCTAATTCTAATTACATTTTCCAGTTACTCTCCAACCAGTAAATTGCTAAAAAACAGCAGAACAAGTGTTATAATCTGCCCTTATTACAAAGACACATCCTGTTAGAGGTTGGTCACTGTACCCTCATGTACGTCAATTTTTTTTTGTTTTTTTTGGTCCTTTTGAGACAGGGTCTCACTGGCCTTGAACTCACTTTGTAGCCCAGGCTGGTCTTGAATGCACCATGATCCTGCCTCAGCCTCCCAAGTGCTGGGATTACAGGCATGTGTCACCACGCCTGGCTCACCCTTCTTAACTATGAGCATGATCACAAGTGTGTAGACTTGACTTTCCAGTCCTAGAGAACTGGGACGAGACCCTAGGCTACATACCCTACCAAAGAGCAATCATGCCTAAAGGTCCAAGGTGCACACCTGCCTGACGAGTTTTAACTGAAAGGTTAGCATTCTGTAGCATGTTTTGTCATAAAATGCTACCCTGGCAGAACAGGGGTAGAGTATTTTGCTGCCACCATGCACAGGACAATCACCACCTGAGTCCCCTTCCTCAGAATCAGAGAAACCACGGCCCTGTAAAACCACCTGCAAAGCAACATGCTGGGAATCACTGCATGTCTTCTGCTGCACACATCTCCAGTAGCCGCCCACAACCAGGGAAGCTGATCCAGACAAAAGACCATGAGGTCAGTGGCTGTCTATTCTGAACCTGTCCTCCTCCCGCCTACAGCTCAAAGCCTCAATGTGCTGACTCCAGGGCCCCCACAAATCTGGAGGCCTCACGACCTATGACGCAGCCATGCTCAGTAATCCGTGTGCTGCTGCTGCTCATGCCGTTCCATCTTTCTGGAAGCCCTTTCCCTCAACTCCCACCAGCCCCAATCCTACTCATCCTTCTACATCAGCTTGCCAATTACTTCCACCAAAAAAGTTTCTCTAGCCCTGCCCTGGCCACTGAGGTAGCTGTTAGGCTGCATGTGGCTATTTCAGTTAATTAAAACTAGAGTCCAGCTCAGTTGTATTAGCCATATTCTAAATGTCTGAGAGCCACATGTGGTTGGGACTGCACACAACAGACTAGAGACTAGTTCCATTACTACAGAAAGACCTTTTGCACAGGACTGCTCCGCCACTCACCCTTACTCCATGTTGTCCCTTACCTCCCTCCCTCCCTCTGTCCCTCTATAGTCCTCCCCTAGATCTGCCAGTCTTCTTTGCCTGTATGAAGGTGACTGTGTATTCATGATCACCATGAGATTAAAGGGCCAGGACCAGCTCTTACTCAGCCTCATATGGAAGCCACATGGACTGAGCATCTTGCCCATAATGGAGGATGGAAACAGCATTTACTCAACTGAATGCAACATGGTCTCAGAAGCCTCATCCCAAAGGCACCACCCAAGCTCCAGGCTAAGGGACAGAAACTTTCTATAGCAGACATTCTAATGACTGTCAAGCGGTCTGGGTCCAAGTCTCCCCAAGCAGCCAGGATCTTCACTTTCCTCTTCCTCTGCCGTCCAAATGAAGGTTGCAAGCAGATGACCAGGACTGGGCTGCTGGCAGCAAAGCTAAAAATAGCCCTGGAGCCAACAGCATGGAGTTAGCAGGACTTGTTGCTAAGGAGACAGCTGCAGGGAGAGCAACTAAGCAGAAGAAGGTGTCAGACGCACACCAGAGAGCAGAGGCCAAGCTGGGGACTCTAAGTTGACAAGGGTCCAGGACTCCCACTGAGATGTGTGCTACCTTCTGGCAGCTCCTCACTGATGTTCTAAGTGGGGCAAATGTTGCCCTGTCCCTCAGTACCTCATCTCCATGGAAACCACCATGGCTGGGGTAAAGTACCAGCCCCTGGAAAGGAGGCCTCTGCCTGGAGCTTGTTGTTATGGCAACATCCCCCTTTCCTGTCATTCTCTCACTCCTGGCTTCTCCTGAGAGAAGAGGGGGTTGGGGAGGGCCTGGCTTAGCCAGTGTGACCAGGAAACAGCCGCTTCCTTGACAAGACTAACCTGCTAGTCTCCAGAAGCTCCTTGGGAGCTCAGAAAGGCCAGTCACTTCTCAGCACCAGGTAGATGTTTTTTTTTTTCCATGGCGCCTTTACAGGTCCTCATGTCAGAAGAACCCCAAACTTCCCAAGGCTTGCATGCATCAAGACCACCCAATGAGGACTTTACAAATAGATTCTCAGGCCCTACCTACATGTATCAGCAGACTGAGGGTTGGGCTCTAGTTTTCCCTAGGTAATTCTGATACCAGCCAGTTATAGGAACTACTGAAAGCCCGGGCTGTCACAAATGAGGAAAGTGAGAGCTGGAGAGGACCAAGCCATCCCGAAGGGTCAGAGCCACTAGCTGCAGAGGAAGTGGTCTGGAGAGGAGGGGTAAGGAGGAGGACATCCAGAGGTGCGTTTCCTCACATCAGTGCATGTGTCCCAGGCCAGCCACCCCACCTCCTGGGCCTTTCCCTCCTGCTCCCCTTTCAAGTGAGTACATGCTGTTGTCTGATACTGGGTTATGATTTAAAACTGAAGCACTGGACAAGCTGTCCCTTGTGGTGAAAGCAGAAGGCAGGAGGCTGGGGAGTGTGGCTCCCAGTATACAAGAGGCAACCCAGGCACATGATTCGGGCTGAAAGACAACCTCCCCACTGTAAAGCAAAAGGTTCACCATAGCAACTGCAGTGTACTGGCCTAGTCAGCCTCTATGCCACCAGCCTAAACCTGAGGCTCAGGCCAGTCAGGCACAGCATTTGGGTGACTGCCGTGGTAGTGCAAAGGTGCCCACCCCCACTTACCAAGTTAATTTCCTGGAGCCAACCTATAAGCCTGCCTGAAACACACCTACCACCAGACCCCCAAGGGTGTAAGTCCTGAGCACCTGCCCTCGCTGGGTCAGCTGGGGGAGGACTCTGAAGTTCAGGAGAAGAAGGTAAAAGAGATAGGTGTCTGCTTCTGTTACTCACAGGCAAACTGTGTACCCAAGGCCCACCACACATAAACCACAGCCCTCATTCAAGACAGCATGCAATTAGATGGTAAATTATGTGGTAGTGATGCTTCCTACATGTGCTGAGGGAAATCAGAGGCGGCCTGGATCAGTAAAGACAGGAAGATTCAAGGGGAGATGAACAAGGGTGTACCAGGAATGAGCTCAACCTCCAGGCAGGAAAGGCCAGATGTGGGGGTCACTTGTCATTCATTGCGTTAGCTCCCCCACAGATGAAGAGAAGAAATGAGAAGCTTTGGGCAGCCACAGGCACATCTGGGGAAGGCCAGTGGCATGGGCCTGCTGTACCCGCCCTGGAGAGGAACCTGTTAGAAAGCCAGTCCTTCCCTCCTGACTCACCAGCTGCCCCCCCCATAGCGCCCCTCATTCCAGGCAGCCTCAGCGGCCTCCACACCCTCTCCTGATCAGCCCTGCTGCCCTAATCATACGTCAGGCAGCCTTGGTCCACAGGCCACATCAGGCTCCAGCTACCTCGACCTCCTTTCTTACTCCACACCTCAGCTTTCCCTTTCCTGAGCTCTGGGACTGCTCCACAAACCCCACTCTTTTCCTGTCCCTTCCTTCCACTGACCCCTAACTGCTGGGGCTACCCTGCAGGTGAGTCTTGGGCCCTGGCAGGGGGTACAGATGACACCACAGGGGTGAGGGGTCCACTCTGACACTGGGACTCACTTGCTCTTACCAGGAAAATCAGGGGGGCGGGTCTCGACCCTGCAGGGTGCTGTAGCAATGGCAAGGCCTGGCTTCTCTGGAGCTCAGTTGCCTAATCAGCCTAACACACTACAAATACCTGCTCAATCTTCCAGATTTGTAGATGCTGTCACTTTGTTTTAGAAAGCAGTCCCTGGAAAGCAGTGTCAATTCTACACCAAGGCAAGGTGTAGGCCAGAAGGAACCAGGCACACCTTCACTGCCACCCTTCCCCCTACTCCTTCCCAGGCTACGGGGAGGGGCTGAGGGACCACCATTCAGATTCAGGCATGCAGACCCTCTCGAGTTTCAGGGCCCAAAGAGAAGACAGGGAGGAGCCCAGCAAACCAGTGTGGCTATTGCTGAAAACACCAGGAACGCCTTCCATCTCCATCCCAAAAGGAAAAATGTAAATTCCTGCACTGAGTCCTTTCCGGTCTTCCCACCCCCGGGCTTGGAAACTGTTCAGAGCACCTGCCAGCCTCAGAGCCCGGCTTTCATCCTTAGGGCATCCTTGTAGGTTCAGACCAGCTGCAGACCCCTGGCAGACCCTTAGCAAGGACTGGTGCTGGCAGCACTACCTTCCCAGTGTGACTCATCTGCCCAGGGATGTTTAAACCAAACAACACTCCCGGGCAACCCTGATGCACAGTGAGGCCCCCGCCCCAGGTGATGTGACATTTGGGGGATCTCCTCTGAGCCAGGTTTGCTTCACTTCTAATCATATGAAGCTTGGTGGTTCTTAAACTTCAGTAAACCCTGAGGTGGGGAGGGGCAAGGGGGGTGCCCCAGAGACCCTGGTTCAGGATTCTTTGGGTAACAGAAAAACCCACCCTTTGGGGAAACCTGAATCCTAAATTTTGCTTTTCTAATTGTTTGGGTTTTTTTATTTTTTGGGACAGGGTCTTGCTATATAGTGCAGGATGGCCTTGAGCTCACTATGTAGCCCAGGCTGGTCTCAAACTCACATCAAGCCTCTTGCCTCAGCCTCCTGAGTGCTGGGATCACAGGCATGTACCACCATGGCTAGCAATCTGCAGATTTTTTTTAATCATATAAAACTGCCTTTCAGGTAGCATGTAGATTCAAATACACTATAGTCTGGGCAACAACATTCCCATTTTTGGTCAATCCTGAGCTGGACGTGAAAATAGAAGTATCTTTTTTTTTTTGAGACTAGGTCTTATTGTGTATTACAGGCTGGCCTTGACCTCGTGGCAACCTTGCCTTTGCCTCCTGAGTGCTGGGATTACAGGTGTGTGCCACCACGCCCAGCTGAAATTAGAAATGTCTTTACTGCCCACCGCTCACAATGAAGAGGAAGTGAGGAACCAAATAGCATCAGACGTGTTACTGAAGAAACAGTGAGGCGGCAGCCAGCATACAGTCGGTGTGGGAGGAGTACGACCCCGGAGGGAGGACAAAGGCTGGCAGTCAGGAGGCCACAGCCGCTGAGAAGGGCCTCAGCGGTCCTCTAGTTAGTCCAGGAAGTGGTCCCAGATGCTGCTGGTGAAGCCCATGTTCATGCCTGGTCCTGTTTTCTGTGCCCTTTGGGTCTTGCCCTCCCTGCTCAGCCCTCCAGGTGGAAGGTGTTGGAGTCTGAGTCCAGATCCTCCATTTAGGAGCTAACCTCTCCCCTGGACACCCACCCTGTCTATGCTGGCTTCTCAAGAGCCGCCTGTCCAAAGCCAAACTCAGTGTCCCCTCCACCTAAGAGAAAATCTTCATGCCCTGGGGCGGGGCAGGGAATTCTTACAGTTGACTGCACCGCTGCCACACCCCACCAGAGGGAAAACTGGTTAAATAGGACTTTACTAAGAAGCTTCTGCTCATCATAACGTACTTAAAATAAGCCAGACCTAGTGGTGCACAGCTGTAATCCCAACACTTGGGAGGCTGAGGCAGAAGGATCACTATTAACCTGAGGCCAACCTGGGCTTCTTGGTTGAGTTCAAGGCCAACCTGAACTATTAGTGAGACTCTGTGTCAAAAAAGAAAGAAAAGCTCATGTCTCAAGCTTGCTATTCCTCCAGGATTCCCTACCTCAGGCCCCAAATCCTAGGCAGGTTTCTCCCTTCCCTCCATCTGGGACAAGTTACAACAGTTCTTTCAAGTCACTTCCCATACCCGACCCTCAGTCCTGGCCAAATGTGCTGCCCTCCTCACTGGCCCTGTCCTACACTGCCCTCTGTGACTCCATGATGCCGTGAGGGTTCACACTCTAATATACTCCCTAATATACATGCCCGCTCCCTACTGCAGACCAAAGCCTGAACCAATCACCAAGGCAAGAGGGCCCTTAAGCAGGAGGGCCCACCTCCTCTCACGTCTGACCTCTGCTCAAGCGTCCTGTACCCTGATCTCCTGCTGTCCCCCAGACAAGCCAGGAGCTCCATGCTGCCTCTCTCTGCCCTCACTGTGCTCTTCCTGCATCCCTTCCTCTCCAGGGTGCCTCCTCCAGAAAGCTTCTGTGGGTCTGAAGGAAGCCGGAGCCTTCCGCTGTGCCTGTGCTCTGTTGGGGTGCCAGGTGTCACCCCTGCTGGCTGATGTGCCTCTGGGACTGGGACTGTGTCCAGTGTGTCATACTGGACACTGTATCCAGTGGGGCATGTTTAGTCAATACCAAGGTAAGGGCCGATAACTCCCTCAATTCGTGTTTCAGCTTCTTTAAGGTCACAGACAGAGTCCAGCAGCCCTGCCCTCCCCTGGACATCCTGGTGGTCCCGGACCACTGGTTCAGTCTGCAAGGGAACCATTCATCTCTGTGGTCAGCCCCACAGAAAATACTATGGGAATGCTTCCAATGCTGACCTAATGCACAGGAAATCTTGAGATATGCAAGGTTCCAAATCGCAGGGGATTTCTGTGATCAGCACCCTAGCTAGGGTTTCTTCACACCCTTCTTCCACTGCCCCAGGCAGACTCCTCATTTCAGTCAGGGCCACACAGTGTTTGCCATGACATGGCCTTCCCTGAGGATGCCCGTTGGGCTTGACAGGGGACCCCACAGCCTCCTGGCTCTTTTCTCATTTGTTTGTTAACTTTAAGATCTTTCTAAGTCGCTAAATTGCCCAAATTGGGTTGGAACTTATGATTTTCCTGCCTCAGCTTCCCAAAGTGTTAGCATTACAGGTTTGTGCACCACTACACCTAGGCTCATTTCTCTTCCTTTCCTTCCTTCCTTCCTTCTCCCCTCCCTTCTTCCCTCCCTTCCTTCCTCTTCTTTCCTTTTTTTTTTTTTTTTTTTGGTTCTGGGGTTGAACCCAGAGCCTCACACATGCTGGGCAAGCACTCTACCACTGAGCTATACCCCCATCCCTTTTTAAAATTTTGAGGGGCTGGGGATTTAGCTCAGCGGCACAGTGTCTGCCTGGGAAGCGTGAAGTCCTGAGTTTGATTCCTGGTACCGGAAAAAAAAAATACAAAATAAATAAATAAATAAATAAAGTGGGCTGGGGATTTAGCTCAGCGGTATAGCACCTGCCTGGCAAGTGCAAGGTCATGAGTTCAATTCCCGGTACCAGAAAAAAACCAAAAAAATAAAAAATAAAAAACTAAAATTTTGAGACAATGTCTCATTAAATTGCCCAGGCTGGCCTTCAACTTCTGATCCTCCTGCCTCCTGAGCAGCTGGGATTATGGCCATGCACTACCTTGCCAAGCCTCTGCTCACTCTCTAGTTGTACCAGGTCACAGCATAATTTATTCGTTTACTTGCCCACCCCTTCAGGGCACAGTGGGCAATTTAAATTCATTTCATTAGTGTCTGGACAATTTTGGGATCTGGCAGACACCCAGACATGTAAGGCAGTATCTTAAGGACTGAGCACATAATACCTGCTCAGTAAGAGTTCTACAGCTCTTTGGAATAACAAATGAATAGAAGTGCGATTAATGAAAAGGAAACTACCAGTAAGGGACAGATCTTGGTAGATGGTGAGCAGAGATGGGAACCTAAATCAAGGAGCTGCCCGGAAAGATCTGTGTGTCAGACAGTGGATGTGCTTTGTAACACCACCTTTCTTGTACGATGCCAAGGCTGCCTTTTGTGCCTGAGCCTAGGTTCCTACCATATCCTGCTTTAACTTCCTTTCTTTTTCTTCTTTTTATTTTTCCAGGCTGAGGATTGAACCCAGGGTCTGATACATGCTAGACAAGTGCTCTGAGCTACATCCCTAGACCTGTTCTACCTTTCTGATCCAGGTGTGGAAAGACAGAGGAAGAAGTGGAGGGGACAGTGAAGAAGAAAGGAAAACAATACTGTGGCACCAAAGAGCAAATTTCCTGAAAGCTGTTTGTAAGAGTTCTTGGGTTTTGTTTCATTGTTTTGTTTTTTGTTTTTTTTTTTTTTCGGTACCGGGAATTGAACTCAGGACCTTGTGCTTGCCAGGCAGGCACTTGTGCCACTGAGCTATATCCCCAGCCCCCTAATAGTGACAGCTTTTGTTCTTTTTTTTTTTTGAGTACCAGGAATCGAACTCAGGACCTTGTGCTTGCCAGGCAGGCACTGTGCCGCTGAGCTATATCCCCGGCCCTTCTTTTTTCTTTGAAATAGGGTCTTCCTAAATTACCCAGGGAGGCCTTGAACTCATGATCTTCCCTCTTCAGCCTCCCAAGGAGTGGCAATTACAGGTTTGCACTACCATGCCTGGCTGAGTTCTTACAAGGATGCTTTGTGTGTGTGCCTGCATGTGTGTCATGTATGTTAGGCCTGAGAATTCACCCAGACCTTGAACTTAGAATTCATGTACAGGCAGTAAATGTGACAGAGGAAACCAGATCTGAATCCTCCCCACTGTCGTAAATCCCTCACACTATCTAGTCTCATTCTGTCACATTATAAGCAAAAAAACTAAAGCAAAGAAAGAAGAAAGAGCCCCTCAAATGGATCAGCTAATCAGGGACAGAAAACCAGGCCCTCTGAATCTCATTCCAACATTCTCTTAATCCAATTTCATAATGTCAGACATATGGCCATGAGAAAACAGCAAGTCAAGGGTGGGGCAGGGGACTGAAGTGAATGGAGTTGGGAGGGACACACCAAGGTCATTAACCGGTCAAGGTCATGAGGATGAAAGGACCTGAGTCTCACAGAGGCCATGGGAGCCAGCTAGGACAACAGTGGTTAGGAGCCAGTACAGGGCAGCTGCCTGGACACTTCTTTTTTTATTTTTTGGCAGTACTGGGAATTGAACGCAGGGCCTTCACATGGAGCTATGTCCCTTTTAACTTTAAGACATGGTCTCATTAAGTTCCCCAGGTTGGACTGGAAGTTACAATTCTCCTGCCTCAGCCTCCCAGAGTGTGAAAATTACAGGTGTGCACCACCACACCCAGCTGGACAGCTAGACAGCCTCTCTTCTAAACCCATGCTTGAATTTCATCCATGTGGCTCTTTCCTACTTTCCTTGGGAAACCTTCCTTTCCTGGTAGCAAAACAGGATTGACAATATTTCTTACAAGGCTGGGAGAGTAACCTACCAGTAGAGCATGTGCTAGGCAGGCATGAGGCACAGGCCCTGGGTTCAGTCCCTAGCACCACAAAACAAAACTGACAGTAAATGAGAGGACTATGCCTTAGGAGCATGGTGAAAGCTCTGTTTTGGCACAGTGCCTGATGCGTCTGTGGGTGCTCAGCAAAGTCCAGCCTTTTGTCCTGTTCCCTAATCCTGGCCAGCAGTTGGACCCTGGACACATTTCTCACTGCTAAAAAGTAGGGGCTGTCCTGACAGCTATTATTCCCTCAGTGCACCCAGGAGGAGGGAATTTTCCACTGTGCAAATAGCTCATCCACTTAAAGGACACTGAGGAGTTGCTCTGTGACAGTTTTCACAGCTTGGTACCAAGGTGGGCCCCAGAAGTTACCCTGCTTACAGGAGGCCACAGGGGCACCTTTAATACTCGGCCTTTTGGCGAAGTGTGCTTGCTGTGCCTGCTCCAAATGCTTTCACTTCCTCCAAGGGGAACGTGAGTTCTGGGGCCCCCTGCACAAGTTCAGGGATGGCAAACCAGTGAGGAATGTCTGCATGGAATACCACACCCCCGATTTGGTTTCAGTCTTTATTGGTCTACTTCACAAGAGCCCGGGAGATCATACCTTATTGTCTCAGCCTTCCCAAAGCCGCTGGAATAAGGTCCTGACTTAGGAGGTGCTGAGTGATTGCTTATTAAATGGAATATGGCACAGCAGGAAGCAGCCCTCTGGACATTCCCAGGCTATTCCTCCCAGGCAGACAGGAAGCACAGTGTGTTGAGACCGTAGGTTGTAAAGAGAGGGAAGGCAACATTTGCTAAGCTCATAGAAACGCCAGCAGCAGCACAAATGGCCAGTAAGCATCTGAGAAGACGCGCAACCTCACTTATTATCTGGGAACTGTCAATTCCAATCATGCTAAGACACTATTCTCCCACCCATTCAGTTAGCAAAATACTGATATCAGCAAAGGTGGAAGTCATCTCATACACTGGCATTGCCCTTTTTAGAGGGTAATCAGCCAGATTTTATAAAATGCAAACTACACATTCCCTTGGGCCAGAATTTTTCTTTGTAGTATCTGGTCTTTCAGGAATGCAGATGTGCAGAGAGGAAGACCAAAGATGCTCACTGTTGCAGTATGTGGTTGCCTGAAGGTTACCAGTAAATAAAGTGGTGGCCATGCACACAGTGGGATAAAACAGTAAGGATGCCACTCAACTGGTGTACGTGAAAGACCAAGCTGTGGGGGCCCAGGATATAGCTCAGTGGCACAAGCGCCTACCTGGCAAGCACAAGGTCCTGAGTTTGATTCCCAGTACCCGCCCCAAAAAGAATGAATTCTGAAAAACCAAGCTGTGAAATGAAACTACAGTGTGGTCCATTTATGTAAAAGGGGGGAAAAAACGTGAAGAAAAATTATTTACACATCCAGGTAAATGAGTAGGAAAAACTGTGAGACTGACCTACCATCTACCTCCCTATCTACCTACCTGATAGCATCAAAAACCTGTGAAGGAATTAAAATTGTGGGGGTAGATTTTTTATAACCAGAATGTACTTGTGTAATAGTATAATTTAAATTTTTTTTTTTTTAAACGGTCAGGCTTCAGTATATGCTGGCTTTGTGCTCAGATCTCTAAAAGTATGTGTCACCTTTTGAATCCACACCTCTAAGATCAGGATTATTTATCCATGTGGCACACCCTTCCCCTGTACATCCTGCCTGCCTGGGGACCAAAGTACCCAGAGGGACTGCACTTAACTAGCTCAGGTTGGGTAAAAGCAAAAAACAAACTGGTGAATGCTGTTCCCATGAAGCCAAGACATGCAGAAGAGCAGAGCGCAGTCAAGTCTACCCACAGAGGGGCGCCTCCATTGGCTGGCGAGGTTATGTGACGCCTAGGGTCCCATGTCCTGGAAGTAAGACTTGTTTGCTGGTATCTTGTGGCTTGCCTCTAAGGCCACAGGCAGCAGCAACCTGCCCTTCAGGCACCTGAAGCCTCTGCTTCTTGCTGGACAGTGTGTGTAAGGATGCAGGAGTCCCAGGGTCCTGCCCTATAGGTTGAGAGCAAGGAAAGAGACCAGATCCTACAGCAGCAGGACATAGTACCCTTGCCAAAGATCCCCTTGCCTTTGGAATCTGCTCAATGTGAACAGTTGCAACATCAATGGGCTATTACGGAGTCTTAGAACAACTGGGTAAATTGTAGGGATTAGAGGGTTGAAGTCTTGAGAAATGGCCAGAAGACCTTTATCATGATGGGGAGATAATGGGGAGCCGCTGTATGCTCTATAGTGAGACCTGATCACAATTAAGGCAAAGGATTAATAAGCAGGTAAAGGGCCAGGGATGTAGCTCAGCGGCATAAGCAATTGCCTGGCAAGCCTGAGGTCATGAGTTCAATTCCTGGTCCACCCTCCCCCGAAAAAAAACAGCAAGTAAAGGGAATAGGAGAAGAGACAGAAGATGACAGCTTTCCCACTCCAGCAGGAATTCCCCGTCAGCCTTAGGATGCATATGTCCCATTTCTTCTCATCCATTTATGTTAAATTTCACTTATTTTTATGATATTTTATGTCTTCTGAAATTTTGGGAGGTATGGAGAGAACCTCAGGAAGTAGGTTATTTTAGACAGACAAAAAGATCGAGTAGGCCTCACTCAGTAATGATGGTCTGATTGACAAAAGTGCTGAAGGGAAAAGAAAAGTCATGCAGGACTGTGTTCTGAGGGAGGGCGGCCTTCAGATGAGCATGTAGTCTAGGGGAAGGGGCGCGGGGGCCTGGGGGGAGCCCCCCAGCAGGGCATACAACCACTGTAGGCCTGACCTGACCTCCCATCTTCCCAACAGCGCTTACTGCTGTTCTCTACCCACAGTCCCTGAGCCTCACCAGAACAAATATCCATTCCTGAAAAGGCCACACTGTTTTGTGCCTCAGGACCTCTGCACATGCTGTATACCTCCTTTATAATGCCTTTCCCCTCTTCTTTAAAAGCTAAAAGTTGCCTCTTGCTCATGTGTGATCCTCAGAAGAATTAGCCTAAGCCTATACTCAGGGCAATGTACTTTCTATAGATGCCATGAACCTACATTTTATGCTTCCAATATCTTACAAGCCATACAGACACAGAAAGTTCTGGCAGTGGGCGCAGTAAAGGTGCCCAAAGGAAACTGTAACAACAGGCTCTGTGTTCAGGTTAGGAAGTGCTGGTTGGGCCTCCAAGTGAGAGTGCCTGGGCAGTAGGCGCAGTTTAGAGCTAAAGCCTGGACACTTTGTCAGGAGTAGGGGTTATCTTTCTGGAGAGGGTGACTGGACCCATAACAGCAGATAGAGGGCGGCAAGATGCAGGGGTGAGGGGTACAGATCTGGGGGTGCCACAGTTAGAGACAAGAAGCTGAGGACAACTGCAGTGGGCCTTGCAGGGAGGTTGAGAAGGGCCAGGGAGGCAGCTTCTGAAGAAAAGGTCAAAAGCCAAAGAGCTGACACTGAGAAAGACGATGGTGCTCTGTACCCTAATTACAGAACTTGGACAACAGGCCCCACAGCAACAGTCACTGTTGTTTGGGGGGCAACTTGAAAGCCACTTGTGTTTCTCCAACATTTTTTTTTTCAGACCTTTGAATTTTTTTTTACTTTTTCTTTTTTTGTCTTGTTGAGACAGAGCTTCACATGTAGTTCAGGCTGATCTTGAACAATCCCCCTGCCTCAGCCTTCTAAGTGCTGGGATTATAGCTGTGTGCGACCACACTCAGCCAGTCTTTTGAATTTTATTTATTTTTATTAGTACACACCTGAGATATATTCACAACTTTCTGATTACCTTCAGCTTCCCTATCAGAATGCAGTATATGGAGCCGGGCCTCAATAGGAGCAGAAAGCCTAAATTCTTATTCCTTTCCAGCCCCATAACTTGCCAGGGGCCCTAGTTCTGAAAATGAGGGGATCTATAGTTTTAGAACTTGTACTGGAAACTATGAAGTAAACAGTCTTACTGGCAGAAAAAATAAATTTTTGTTTAGGAGTTTCTATACCATAAATCGAAGGTACTTATATTTTAAACTAAGGTGTTTTTTTTTTTTTTTTTTTACTTTTCTGTTAAACCTCATTGTTATCTTTATTGCTTGGGGTGGATAAACAAGAAAAATCTAGCTTTTGATGACTGTTGAAGTGCATGATAGACATAGGGTTCTTTATCCTACTTTCTCTAGTTCAGTATAGCATAGCAATTGTTTTGTTTTGCTTTTTGCAGTGCTGGGGCTCACTAGGCAAGTACCCTATCTTTGAGCTACACCCCAATCCAACAAATCTTAAATAAGTTTTCTGCTGTTGTGGTGGTGCGTGCCTATAATCTGAGCTACTACTCAGCGGGTTGAAGCTGAAGCAGAAGGTGGCAATTTCAAGCCCAGTCTGGGAAACTTAGCAACATGCTGTCTTGAAATAAAAAATACAGCCAGGCATGGTGGCACATGTCTGTAATCCCAGTACTTGGGAGGCTGAGGCAGGAGGGTTGCTATAAGTTCAAGACCAACCTGAACTACACACCAAAAAAGGAAGGAAGGAAGGAAGGAAGGAAGGAAGCAAGCAAGCAAGCAAGCAAGGAAGGAAGGGGAGAGGGAGGGAGGGAGGTAAGGGAGAGAGGGAAAAAGGGAAGAAGAAAAAGAATAAAAAGGGCCAGAGATGTAGCTCAGTAGCAGAATACTCCTGGGTTTAATCCTTAGTACTATAAAAGAAAAGTCTTAAAAATTTACTAGAAAACCTGTCACTTTCTTGAAATAGTATCTATCTTCATTTCCCACGTGTTGAAGAAAGACCCCCTTTTCACTGGGATCGAGGGCAGGTCTCCACACTGTGACTTAAAGGGAGCACAGTTGGAGAATCAAAGAACATTTTAGAAACTCTTCAAGCCCTAAAAGTCACAATCTCTATGCTTCCTGCCCCAAGCCTTAGCAAGAGCAGAAACCCCACACAGAACACAGTGAAGAAGCAGAGCCCTTGTCTGAGTTCCAGGGTCCCAGCCCGGAGACGGAGCCAAGAGGACAGCCCCCTCCCTGAGTTCCCATTCCAGGACAAGGCTCAGTGCCCACAGCCAAGTGGCTCTCTGCAGACCTGGAACAGGCTGCCCTTTTTCCAGGCTCTTCCAAGAGAGGAATTTCTGTCGTCCTGGATCCCAAAGGAACTGAAAACAATCAAGGAGCCAGAAGTGCTCCCCTCCCCCTGGGTTTGGAACTTTCTCCAGAGCGGTTCTCACTACACAATGTCAGGTGGCCTGGGGTCAAGATGATGGAGAGCAGAAGCTGAGGGGCGTGAATGCCCTGCGGTGGCAGCCCACACCCTCTTCTCTTTGTACTTTCTCATCAAAGGCTCTAGAGGCCACTCAACAATTTGCCTAGAGGACTGACTTCCCTCCCTAGTCTCTCCAATCCTCGCTGCTTTCCCTGCTGAAGCCCTCCACGGGCTGCTTCCACCCCACCCCACCCCCATAGACCCCCGCAAAAGCTCCTCTGGGACGGTCCTGTCCCCCAGGCCTGCCAATGTGGAGGCACGCCTCCACCTCCGGGAGTTCAGCTTTCCCAGCCTAGGCAGTCCCTTCCTTGGGAAGCCTCCTGCTTTGTGAGACACCACTTATGGGGCTGGCTGCCCCTCTCAGGCCCGGCCACCTACAGCTCCTTTTCTCTCTGTAACTCATAAATGTCTGCATTTATGGTCTCGGACTTTCTTCTCTCTCTGCCGAGCTCCTTGGTTCTCATGGACTGAAATGCCAGCTCTGCCCTTGGCCCCAGCTGACATCAGTGGCCTGCACTTTCCCAAGCTCAGCCTCTAGGCACCTGGACACTCATAGTGAACCCTGGCTTCCCTCCCGCCCACGCACACCACTTCCCTGGGGCTCCCATCCGCAGCGCTAATGCAGAGATCACCAAGTGTCTGGCCAGCATCCCGAGTGTCCCTCACCCGTCCCATCCCTCAGCAAGCCTACTGATTCCGTCTCCACAGTACAACCTGAAGCTGTCCGTCTCCACTGCCACTGCATGTGTCCACACAAATCCTTCCTCTGCAAGACTTCTGCGGCTCCTGTACACTCAAAACAGCCAACCAGCCTCTGGCAGGCCCTCAAGCACCTGGCTTGCTGCTCTGGCCTCGCCTGGCCCCACTTCCCTCCTGCTGACTTCACTCTGGGCATATGGTTTGCCACACACGTCAGCACCCTGTGTGCACTGTTTCCACCACCTAGAACCTTCTCCCTGCCCAACTCCTCCCTGCCAGCCCGACAGTTCCTTTTCATCTTAACTGAAATGCACCTCTCCCAAGAAGCCTCTGCTGACCACCCCACCTAGAACAAGGTCCTGTTTTATTTTGTTCCTGCCCTTTGTTTTCTGCCTGTCAACCCCAACAGCATGTCAGCTCCAAATGGGCAGGAGCCATCTGTGCAGGGCCTAGTACACCAACTGGTATGCAGCAAGTGCTCGACAGACGCTTACTGAAAGAACAAATGAACCAATCACTGCCTATGGATCGTGTAGTCCCCTGCAATTCTAGGGGTTAACCTGAGGCGGGAACTGAGGCTCAGCCAGAGCCTGACAACAGACAGTGGCTGAACTGACTTTGGGTTTCCTAGTTATGAGAGACAGATGGGGCCCAGGCCACATGGCACCTCACCTCCCTTTTCCAGCGTGCCAGCCACTCGTCCCGCTTGCGCTTGCTGATGTAGTAGGGGTCCCCGGCCTGGAAGGTCAGGCGCGGCATGGGCCGCTGGCGGAGGCTGGACTCCCAGCCCAAGCCACCCCGCAGCCGGCCCCGGGAGCCCTAGGACAGAGAGATGGCAGAGAGACAGACAGGCATTAAGGTGGGCACCGATCCCCCTACGAGGGTGCCCCTCCTGGCAGGGAAACTGGGGACTCACCTCTAAAGAATATGGACATTATGGCTCTTGGCCAGAGGGGTGACCTGGGCGTGCTGGGGAAGCTGTGTCTGGGCCAGGGAGGTGGGGGATGTGGAGGGGGTGCACACGGACAAGGCTGCACAGAGCGTTTCTCTCCAGAGGGGAAAGAGCTGGCTGCCTGGCTGGGAGACTCCCAACCTCCACCCCACTTCCTCTCCTCCTCACACAGGGATAGCAAAGAAGGGGCGGGGCCCACCCTCCGGGCCCCCTCACACACTCGCCAGTCGGTCAGAGCAGTGGCTTTCTTCTAGAATCAGGATCCACAGAGCCCCTGGGGGTGAGGAAAACACTTGCCTCCGTTTTCACAGATTCGATGTTGGTCTCCTTCTGTTCTTTGCCTGTGGAGAGGAAAGAACAAGGGGACTGTTGGCAGAGTTACAGGGCTGGCTCAGAGGTCACACCTGGAACCCGGGTCCCTGCCCCAGGGACAGGGTCCTCCCAGCATCTGGTAGGGTGTGGGTCAGCCACGATGACCTGCCCGTGCTGGGCACTTTACTGGCCCCGCGGACTCAGACCAACACCTGAGCAGAGACAAAAAGGTTAGATTCAAGGCCTAAGTACACAAGAATAGGAAGAAAGTCTGGACTGAGGTCCCTGGCCCACTGGCTCTCAGGCACACAGAAGGGGCCTAAAAATATCCTGCCTCGGCCGCTCCGTCAACCGGGCGCCTCAACGAGCACAGGCAGGACACCAGAGGGGCTCGGTATGGGTGGATTTGAGGGTGGCCGACTTCAATGCCTTCCACAGCCAGGGAGGAGGCGCTTGCGTCTGTGTAGGAGGTCGGAGCGCTGTATGCTGGGGGCAGTGGACACCCAGGCCCCTGGGACAAGGCCCTGGGGGAGCAACTTCATCTGTATCTCAGTCTCCTCATCCGGCAGAAAGATGCTGGAGTGGGTTTCTGCGTCCCGCTGCAGTTCTAGATACCGTGGCCCTATTATTACCCGCCTCTGTCCTCCATTCCTGCCCGTCCGCAGGTTCCCTGCCGGAAATCTATAGAGGCCCTGCGTCTGGAGTCCAGCGGTCTCAGGGTGACCTCCCTAGCCAGGTCCTCACCGAAACCAAGTGGATACATGCTCTAGAATGTGTCCGCGCGATCCCCGAGCGCCGAGGGCTGGGTTCGGCACATGGCAGGCGCTCAGTACAGGTCAGTGTCGCTCTCCCTCCCCGAGGGCCTCCGTGGCCCCCGGCGTTACCCTGCTCCCCGCGCCCAGGCCTCTTCCTAGGCCGGGCCCTGAGTCCGGAAGGGACAGCTGGCGCGGGGCTGACGCGGCCACAGGCTGCTCTCGCCGCCCCTCCGGCTCGGGGCTTCGCCAGGCCGCAGGAGGGGCGGGCAGGCCGGCCAGGCCTCTGCAGCGCCGCCCTCCTTCCACCTGGGCCGGAACTGTTCCTCGGAAGCCCGGAGAGCGAGCGCGAAGAGCTCGGCCGGAGCGGGAGGTCACCAGGGCCGCCTCACGGTGGCGGGCGGCGGGGGGAGACAAAGAGCCCAGAACGGAAAAAACAGCCCCGGCCTCATCTCCCGGCTCCGGGGCGGAAACCAGCCGCAGCCCTCCCGGCTGGGCTCTGAACCCTCGGCCCGAGGAGGTTTTCCTCTCGCCAGAGGCGACCTGGCTCCTCTCCGCACCTGCCGGGGGCGCCCACCACGGCTCCACCCTGCGGGGCGGCAGAGGGCGTGAGGTGGGAAGAAGGGCGCGGCGCAGGGCCCAGGCCCGGGGGCGGCGACCCGGCGTGTCACTGGGGGGTCACGTGGGCGGGGAGCGGTGTCGCACGTGGGCGGGGAGCGGTGTCGCACGCGGCGCGTGAGTGGGCGAGCGCGGGTACTCGCCGCGCTGGCGCTGTGTACGTGACCAGCCTTTTAAGGCGCGCCTCGCCCGCCGCGCGTCTGTGTCTCTTCCTACCTGTTTCCTTTACGTCTTCTCTCCCACCACAATCCGCTCCCCAACTCCCAGCGGGGCACCCCCAGCGACCGCCCGCCCGCCTTGGCCGAGGCCCCTCCCCTTCGGACCTCCGCGTCCGGCTAGCGAGGCCCGGACCGCCGGGAGGGGGCGCCTGTTCTCGGCCCGGCCGGCTGCGGGCGACAGGGGATTGGGCTGCACGCGGCTCGAGGTCGCTGCTGGAGCCACAGCGGGGTGGGGGACCCCGGGACTCGGGACTCGGGACTCTGAGCTGAGATCTCACCCCAGGCTTCTTTGGACCTAAAGCTTTCCTATCTGCGACTCCGACCCGCATGTGCATGTGACTACATTTACAGAGAAAGAGTCACTAATTCATAAGACTGGAAGAAAAATCAAGGCTGAAAGAGATGTAGAGATGGCTGAAGACTCGTCCAGCCCCTCAGATTTTCAAATGAGGGGACCAAGGCTGGGGGAGTGGAGTGACGAACTGCCAGATCTGAGATCAGGAGATCAGATTTCAGAGTTCCTGACTCTCAAGCCTGCTCCTTTTCCAATGCACAAACATTATTCCTAGATGTTTCCCGTCCTGATTCCTGTCTCCAGGCTCCCCCAAACAGAATGACTTTTCCTAATGCAGCTTCCAACTGGCTTCTTTCTGGAATTTTCTCCGTGACATAATCTGCGCATGCCCACTTGAGAGATATCGCACACGTTCCAGCCTGGCCCAGCAAACAACAAATCTGTCTGCCTCAGAATGCGGCACTTGTCGTGCGGCCGCAGAGTCAGCTGCTCGCTCAGTACTCCCTCTGCAGCCCATCTGCTCCTGGCCCAGGCCCAGGGTTCCAGGCAGGGCCAGGTGGCTGAGTGCCTTCCAGGGTGGCCCTGGCAGGCTGGAATATGACCCCAAGGCATCTCGGGTCCTGGGGCTGGGGCAGAGGAAAGGGAGGCCAGGGGCGTCTAACACTTACCTGTTGGTCTGAGTCCAGGAGCCATTCCAAGTTTGGAATACTCGCAGGGAGCTGAGGCCAGTCCCTAGTTCAGTACTGAGCAAAGAACAGATCTGTGCTGACCCTACTGTGGCCCTTTATTAGTTATATAGTCTTAAGTAAGTAATTTTACCTTTCTCAACCCTCAACATTCCCATCTGGAAAATAAGGATGAGTCTTCCTTATATGAAAACCAGGATGAAATAAGAGACTAGGGCTTCTCAGATTGCAATTCAAATAGAAATCACAGGGGTCTCTTTAAGGTGCAGGCTGCTTCAGAGGTCTGGAGTGAGGTTTGCGGTCCTGCCTGGGTGAGGCAGCTGCTGCAGGCCATGGGCCACCGAAGGAGTAAGGATACAGCATGCCAACACACAGGCAGTGCTCAGTGAGGGACCACATGTTCCCCAAGTTCCTATGACTGTGGTGTAACGCTGCCAGGGCTGCAGGTAAGGTCCCAAGTCAACACCTGCCTGTCCAGGCGCTGGCTTTGTGTGTGCATGGGGTTGTTTGAAATTCAACTCCAGCCCTTTGATTTTTTTTTTTTTTTCCCTTGTCTTTTTGAGACAGGGTCTCTTTATGCAGTTCAGGCTAGCCTTGAGCTCACTTTGGAGCCTAGGCTCATCTCGAACTCGCAATGATCCTCCTGCCTCAGCCTCCCAAGTGCTGGGATTACAGGCGTGCGCCACCACACCCGGCTCAGCCCTTTGAATTTTAAAACAGGGTCTTGCACAGTTGCCCAGACTGGCCTGGAATTTGTGATCCTCCTGCTTAGCCTCCCAAGTACTGGGATGACAGGTGTGTGCCACCATGCTGGGCTGGGTGCTGGCATTTGACCTTACTACTCATCATACTGTCTCTCCTCTTTCTGATCCTGTCTCCTGGCTGTGCTCTGAGGACGCACATGGGAGGATGCCCAGGCTACCAGAATGTATCTTATGGTTCCCCATTTTTTGCTGTACAGGAAGTAATGGGACCATCCACCTGAAAAGAGCCCAAATGAGGGAAACTGAAAGAAGACAAGAGCCAAGTCACTTCCTCCCTGGGGCTTTAGTTCCTTCCTCATCTGAACCCACCAGCTGAGCATGCTCTCCGAGTCATCTGACTGCCAGAGCAGCGGCCCGGCCCTAGCTCAGTGGCCCGGCCTCCAGCAGGCCCCAGCCCCCGGCAGGTCATGCCTCAGCAGTCTCAGCACCCAAACACTCGGCACAGTGGCCTCCAGGGATACCACGGCTCTGACTGCTGCTGGCATTTCTATTTCCTGGATAGCTAAGACCACATGGGAATGCCCAAAGCCACATTTATGCATTTGCGCCCACTGTGCTCAGCGCAAAGGTTCTGAGGAAGATCCACCTCTGTGTCTAAATGTCTCCAACCCAGGAATCACCCTTCACACCATCTCCTTACCTCCATTTCCTGGCTTTTATCTCCTCCTTCCATCTCTGCTGCTGCCTCGCTCATAGGAGCCACCTGCGGTCCCTCTGTACCTGCAGCAGCCTCCTAACCTCTCATCCCACTTTACAGCCCCTCTGATCCACTCCTAGTCCAGACAGCAAAGTGATCTTTTCCTACTGCAGGGCCTATCCGGCCATGCCTGAGACGGCAGCCTTGAAGGTCTGGTCTGGCCATCTGCCACCCACTACCCTCACACCCTCTCCCTGGCTCTCTTCATCTTGCCTGGTGGCTTCTAGATGCCCTGCCACCTCCTGCCTTGGAGCACATCCGGAAACAGGTATGTTCCTGCTCGCCCTCCACCAGCTCATATTCGGCTCAGACAGAACAGCTCGGGCCAGCTCAGATTCCTCGGTGACGCTCTTCCTGGCACCACATTTCCTCACCCTTAGGTCACTCATCACCACTCATGATTGTACTTTTTTTTTTTTTTTTTTTTACCAGAAATTGAACTCAGGACCTTGTGCTTGCCAGGCAGGCACTTGTGCCACTGAGCTATATCCCCGGCCCATGATCATACTTTAAAGTGTGGAGTCTCTCTAGCTGGCCATGAGGTTCTGAAGACCAAGAACTGGGTTTCCATTCATAATGGTTTCTCCAGACTGGCAAAGTGATCTTTTCATACTGTATGATCTTTTCATACTGGCACATACCGAACAGGTGTTTAGTGAATACCAGTTGGCTGAGTGGAAACACAGACAGGGAAACCCCAAACTTAAGCCTTCAGAGATAAAGAGTAGCTTTGGAGCCCAGACTCCATCCTGCCAGGTAGGAAGGACTGGCTCAGCTCTGGGCAGCAGCGTGGCCCCTGGGGAAGCACCAGTCTAGCTGGAAAGGGCTACTGGGCTCCCAGCTCTCTTCCTGAACGCGTGGCATTGTGAGCTAGAGGAAAGGTATCGCTTCCTTTGCTGTTTCACTCCTCCCAGGCACTCCCAACCCTCCCACAAAGCAAGAGATAGACACCAGGAGGCCTGGACAGTTGGGGAACCACCTTAATGAGTCCCGTCCCAGAATAGCAGCAAGAGTGGGAAGCAAGAAAGCAAGATTTAATAAATCCTGGCTCTGCCACTCACAGGTTTGAGAGTCACAAACAAGGCACTTTATCTCCGTAAGATGCACTTTTCCACCTTTATAATCATGATGATAATAATACCTATGGGGGGCTACTAGAGTTGAACCCAGGGCCTTTGCATTGAGCTACAGCCCGAGCCCCTTTTTTATTTTGAAATAGAATCTCACTAAATCACTAGGTTGCCCAGACTAGGCTCAGACCTGGGACCTTCCTGCCTCAGCCTCCCAGAGTCCTGGCATTACAGATATGAGCCACTGTGCCTGCTAATCATAAAACCTCTTGACTAAGACTGTTGCAGGAGTAAATAAAACAACGAATGCAAAGTGCCTCAGAAAGTGCTATGCACATAGTGGAGCAACATAAATATTTGTTGAACAACGAATGAAAGATATTTTAAAATACGTTTGGAAATCTCTTTTCTGGAAATGTTCTCTATTCTGCATAAATATTAGCTTTGGATCCATGCGACGTAAGTTATGCCAATTAATCAATTTACCCATCCCATCATACACACTTGGAAGGAAGACTTTTTGAAATTAAAATGCACATATGCAAAACAACCTGGCAGGGCCCTGGGAGGATCAAATGTGATAATATATGAGGAAGTGCTGTGTAAACTGTGACGCCCTGTACAAATGCTAGTTGTCCTCATTACTAACTTGTTTACAGCTTGGTTGGCCCTGAAATCTCTGGCTTAACCTGAAAGAGAAAAGCGGGCAACTTTCCAGGATTATAGGGCTGGGCCAAAAGTCCCCATGAAGAGGCCTGGGCTGGGCCGTGCACAGACCACTTTCCTCCTCCCCTCGTGGATACCCGTTTGCAACCAAATTTCCAGGGCAGTCAAGCAAGTTACAGTGGCCCTGAGACCTCTGCCCTAGGGAGGCCAACAGGGCACCTGTGCCCTGGCACAGCCAGAGCAGGGACTGCACATGCAGCGGGCGGAAGCTGATGATCACACGGGAAAAGAAGCAGGCCAGGTCAGGGTGGAGTGAAACTGAGGCACCAACCAGCTGAGGAGGAAGACGGGACATCCATTACCCTAGTCCAGCGACCCAAGGCATAATGCAAACCCATTACTGCCAGATCTAGTTCCTTTTCTTTTTTTTCTCCACAACAAGCCAAAACTCCAGATTTTTATGTGAAATTTCTTGATTTTCAAATTCTGGCAGCTAGTTTTTAAAATGTTTAAAGCACTATGAATAATATGCCAAAGAAGCCATGTGTGCAGTCTGCATTTAGCCATAGCCGCCAGACCTTGGGCTCCCACCCCAGCCTTCTCCTGGGACTTGCCAGAGACCCAAGTCTCATGGCCTCCAGGGTTTGCCTGGCCGGGAGAGGCCACCCTGGGCCAGGGACTCACCCTCTTCTGCAGGGGCGCCTCGGCCCTCCTTGGGTACGCAGCAGCCATTCTCCACTGCTCTGGAGGCTTCTGGCGGGGTCTCAGCTGCACCCTCTCCTTCAGCTGGGGCTCCGCCCTTCTGCCCCCCAGCAGGGCTCCCCTCTTCTGGCTGGGGCTCACTCCGCTTCTCCAGGTCCCCATTGGGTAACAGCTCTGAGGAGCCTGAGTCCTGGGCCATAGATGGGGACTTGGAAGTCGCTGCAGGCTCCTTGGGTGTGTCGGTGCTTTCCACCTGCAAGACAATAAAGAGGGGCAGGAGGATGAGACTTACGTCTTTGCTACCTCTGGATTACAGACTCTGAAATTCTCCAGACACCTCTGTGCTAGGGATCATTTCTAAGTTTGTGTTTGACATCGGGGGTCCTCGGGCCAGTGTAAGCCCAGGGTAAGAGGCCTAGCAGGTTAGGCCGTCTGATCCTGTGCTCCAGGGATGGTCCATCACATCTCACTCACTGAGGCTCCTAGGGCCTCCAAGCATTCTCTGCAGCCCCTCTTCAAAACAACCCTCCACGCATGGGAGTCTGAGGGGGCTCCCAAACAAGCACTTTCTGGATCCAAGGCTAGCACAGCCCCTCAGCTCAGACCCCCACAGGTGCTCAGGCCCGGGAAAGCCAGGGGCCACCCCAAGTCTGCAGCAACAGCCCTGTGCGCAGCTCCCACAGGCTTCATCCTGACACCTGAGGCCTGAATGCATCACGGTTCAGCTAAGTCACAGCATCCTCCTAATGTTCCTTCCTGTGCATCCCTGCACTAGAAGGAGCCAAAGCTCCTTCTAGTCCTTTGCCCTCAGGGTCTCTGCCTCCTGGGAAGCAGGTGAGGTTCTTGGAGAGAATTCTGTGATTTGCTCAAGGACAGAACAAGTGCCAGACCACCTATGCTCTTCCTGCCCTGACTACACACACCTGTCCTTGGTCATCTGGAGGAAAGTGGCCAGGACATTTCAGGGAGAAGGGAGGTGTTCAGCTCAAGGAAGCAAGAGGTGGGGTGACCAGGCTCGACCAATGAACACTTAGTATCTCTCGAATATTAATTTTTCTATCATAAAAGTCAGTGGAGGGAAGGGTGGAGAAGGGTTGTTAAAAGGGTACAAAGTTACAGTTACGGGTAAGAAGCCCGAAGGTAGCACTGCATGGTAGGATGACTGACTATAGGTAACACTTATGTACTGTACCCAAGAGGTGGGCAAAATATATGGTGTTGAAATGTTTAAAATTTATTATTGCCATTAATTCCCCTCAAAACACTTCTGCTTGCTCCAAACATACTTATCCCATCATTTTTGCAAGTTTATCTTGAAATGGGGTCTTGATATATATTCTAGGCTGGCCTTGAACTCATGGCAATTTTCCCGCCTCAGTCTCCCAAGCGCTGGGATTACAGGCATGCACTACTATGCCTGGCTTCTTGCTACTTTCTGAAGCAGTTCCTGAAGTCCTCTTTCAAGAGAGTCTTACCCAGGCATGGTGGTGCATGGCTATAATCCCAGCACTGGGGAGGCTGAGGCAGGAGGATCACTATGAGTTCAAGGCTAGCCTGGACTACATAGTGAGTTCAAGGCCAATATAAACTACATAGTGAGACCCTGTCTCAAAAATCAAAGAAGGAGTCTTGAAGAGGTACAATCAAAATACAGTGAATGCCCTCTGTGCATCCAACAGAAAGGCAGGCTTGCAAAAACATTACAGTGCATCCTCATGTATTTATTCAGTAGTGGATGTGGCACTGTGTGACAGACAGCTGGCTCTTCCCCAAAGTAAAAAAAAAAAAACAGGAAAGATAAATTTCTTGAATCAATTTAGGACATCCAGGTAGCCATGAGAGCGCAACTAAACACATGAAAGAGGACTTCCAGAACTGCTTTGGAAAGTGGCAAGAACGATGGGATAAGTGTGTTTGAAGTGAGGGGAAGGGGCTGGGGATTTAGCTCAGCGGCAAAAGCGCCTGCCTGGCAAGCGCAAGGTCGTGAGTTCGGTTCCTGGTACCGGAGAAAAACCAAAAAAAAAAAAAAAAGAGTTGTGAAGTGAGGGGAATTAATGACAGTGTGTCTTTTACTATAATAAATTTTGTAAAAATTTTGTAATAAATTTTTTTTGTAAAAAAATTTTGTAATAAATTTTGTAAAAACAAAATTAAACATGCACTGTATTTTTTTTTTAAATCACACCTTGTACATCAGAAAGCTAGAAGAAAGAGTTTTGAATATTTTCACCATGAAGAAATGATAAATCTTTAGGGAGATATGTATGTTTGATCTGATTTATACACTGCACAATGTATACAAAATTGAAAGCTCACCCAGTAATCCATTAATATGTAAATTTTTTGTTCTTATGTATTAAAAATAAACTTAATTTGTAATAAAAGCCAAACATATTATAAAAATTCAAACTGCATAAAAATGCCTAGTGTTGAAGGTTAAAGTTCTTATTTTAAGCCCCCACCCCCGCAATCACCCCTCCACCAATAAACTAGTATTATTAAGCAAGTACCCATTTAGACTTTTACCCCTAGAACTGGGGGTCAAACCTAGGGGTGCTTTACCACTGAGCTGCATTCCCACTCTTTATTTGTCTGTTTGTTCCTTTGCTTGTTTGTATCTTTGCTTGCTAAGTTTCCCAAGCTGGCCTCAAATTTGCAATCCTCCTCTCTTAGCCTTCCCAAGTAGCTGGGATTGCAGGGATACACCACTGTCCCTAGTTTCCCTTTTTAGACTTTTTACAGTCATGTATAAGTTTTAACCATATACATTCACACACACATCCAGATCCAGAAGTATGTGTTTATAAAAGGGTATCATGCTACTCATAAACATTTCCCCTAACAAGCGCAGCGGGCTTCTCTCCATGCAAGTACATATGGATCTGCCTCTTTCTGTTTAATGAGTGTTTGGTGATTTACACAAACAGTGAATACTCGGGCCCAGCCATTTCCTGCTGCACTGAGCACCCAGGCACCTGCAGCTCTCTACACCTGTATGTACTGGAAGGCCACAGTCCCAGGCATAGACTGGCAGGTCAAGGACAGGCCCAGAAGTGGAATTGCCAAGTTCCCTGGAGACCACTGCAACGTTCCTGTGCAGGGCATGCAGCCTAAGGGGAAGTGGACTCCCAGCTCCTCCCATGCACAGCGGGATTTCCAAGGCGGTTTGTACTTTGCAGGTCTAGGACTTAAACTCCGAGCCCACCGCTATCTGCTGGCAAATACCCATCAGGGCCAAGGAGCAAAACCTTTGAGAGGAAGAAAGGAGGGGAGGAAGGGAGGGAAGAAGGGAGGGGTCCACAGGCAAACGGCCTGGAGCAGCTCTTCAAATCTCTGGGGAGGAGTGGGCGCCTCTGGTGAGTAAAGGGTGGGGGCTCCAGCTGAGCCTGGACTCTCGCACAGCACCTCCAAGTGTGCCCTAGACTCCCTCCTCCCCTCCCCTCTCCCCAGCTCCATTAGCCTGTCAACTCACGAGCGCAGGGCCTTGGCCTAATCCAAGTAGACTTAGCCAGAGTAGGGCAGTGACAGGTGCTCAATAATTACCCACAATTGATTCATTCACCATAAGCACTCGGGGAGAAGTGCGAACACCCCACTCTGAACTGGAAGGAGCTTCGGCCCTGCTGCCACGTCAGATGGATGTGCTAGGCCAGCTGTTTTTGTTTGCTTTTACTGTGATAGAGCCTCTCAAGGAGACACGCCACGCGCCTGAGACACACATCCTTCCAGCATCTCAGAAGACAGCGACAGCAGCTGCAACTGCAGGTGACAGCTTCAGAATGGGAACAGCAGTGGTGCACACCCCTTCTTCCTCCTCTGCTGGGGGTAGGCTGTGGCCACTGGCGGTCATAATGAGCTCTCTCAGATTTGAGGAGAGCTTGGTGCTGCAGCCCACTCCCCACCCCCACGATGCTCCGTTCTGGGTTTTCAGCCCTGCCCACCACTTCCAGAGGACCCCCAGGGCTCACTGGCCTTTGCCTTCCAGCTAGGGAAGCCCCTACCTCTGCCCCTCCAGCGCCTCAGTTGCCCACCACTGTATCTCAGGCCTCTCCAGTGAGAAGCTCATTCCAAGCAAATGAAGTCAGCAGCTCTCAGCTGGGAAGATGCTGCCACTCCCCCAACCCCGGGACTTGGGCAGTATGTCTGGAGACATTTTTGGTTGTCATGGGGTGGGGGGTGCTGGCACCTAGTTGACAGAGGCCAGGGATGCTGCTACGGATCCTACAGACACAGCACAGCTGCCACAGCAAAGAATTATCCCACCCCACGCCAATCATGTCTCTGAAATACTCTGAACGGAGGGGAGTGGGGGCCAGCACTGGGGACTGCCTTTTTCTAAGGAACTTTTTTTTTTTCCTGAGATAGGTTCTTGCTAAATTGCAGTCTGACCTTGAACACACAATCCTCCCCCCACAGCCTCCCAAATAGCCAGGATTACAGGCACACACTATCACACCCAGCCTAAGGAAGGGTTTTTAAAAAACACTTGCCCACTACTATCTGTGAGGCCCTGTTTGATCCTCAGTACTGAAAAACAAACTAGTGAAGTATGCATCAAATCAATCATTCTAACCGTTTCAAGTATACCCCTTAGTACATACTAGACACCCATCACCACTACCTGTCTCCAGAACTTCATCATCCTGAACAGAAATTCTGTGTCCCTGTTCCCCTCTCCCTCAGTAACCACTATTCCGCTGTTCTAAGGAATTACGGGGGGCGGGCGGGGAGACAGGTCTCACTACGCAGTTCAGATTGGCCTTGAACTTGCTGGCCTTGAACTCATGGTGATCCTCCTGCCTCAGCCTCCCAAATGCTGGGATTACAGGCATGCGCCACCATGCCCAGCCTGAGGAACATTTTAAACTAGTGATGGGGAACCTTTTAAAGACTGAGTGCCCAAACTGCAACCTAAAAATCCACCTATTTAACACAAAGTGCCAACACTCCAATTAAACCTGAATACCGAGGTTTTAGTTTAGGAAAAAAAAAAAAACCTCATACATTAACACCTTTGTCTTAAAAGAAAAACACAGCTCAGCATGGTGGTACATGTCTGTACTCCCAGCACTCGGGAGGCTGAGGCAGGAGGATCACCGAGAGTTCAAGGCCAGCCTGGGTTGCATAGTGAGCTCAAAACCAGCCTGAACTATACAGGGAGACCCTGTCTCAAAAGAAAAAGAAAAACACAGTAACAAACATGCCATACATTCCCCTCCAGTGTTTTAAAACTGTCTCTATTACACACACTCC